CCAGGAGCCAGGTGCTTCTCCTGGTCTCCCATGGGGTGCAGGGCCCAAGCACTTGAGCCATCCTCCACTGCACTCCCTGGCCACAGCAGAGAGCTGGCCTGGAAGAGGGGCAACTGGGACAGAATCTGGCACCCTGACCAGGACTAGAACCCAGTGTGCCGGCGCCTCAAGGTGGAGGATTAGCCTATTGAGCCACGGCGCCGGCCTGGGAGGTTGCTTTTTTTAATAATCATTTTTCTCAATCCATGAACACAGAATATATTTCACTTCCTTATTTCTTCTTCAATTTTGTTTTCAATGTTTTGCTTTCATATAGAAACCTTATGCTTCCTCAATTAAATTTTTCCCTTGTATTTTGGTTTTCTTTGTAGCTACTGAAATGAATGGGATTGTTTTCTCTTTTTTTCTTTATTTTTAGTTATTTCTTATTATTTTTTCAGATAGTTCACTAGTAGTGTATAGAAATGTTGAGGATTTCATACATTGATTTTGTATCCTGCAGCTTCACTGAATTCATTTATTAATTCTAGTGTGTTTTTTTTTTATTGAGTCTTTAGGGTTTTATATATGTAAGATCCTGTCATCTGCGAATAAGGGCTATTTAACTTCATCCATTCCAGTTTTGCTGTCCTTTTTTTTCTTCTCTCCTGCCTCCTTGTTCTGGCTAGAACTTCCAGTACTTTGTTGAGTAGCTGTGTGGAGAGTAGGGATCCTCGACTTAATCCGTATATTAAAGGAAAAGCTTTCAACTTCTCCCAGTTCAGTATGATGTCAGCTGTGAGTTTGTCTTTTATGGCCTTTATTGTGTTGACACGCATTTTGTCTGTACCTATTGTGTTGAAAGTTTTTTTTTTTTTATCACAAAGGGCTGTTGAATTTTGTCAAGTGCTTTTTCTGCATCAACTGAAACGATTATGTGGGAAGTTGAGTTTTATATAAATGAGAGAATGTAAGAGGCATGAGGTCTGTCCTAGAAAGAAACCTTGAAATAGGGGTAAAATGAAAGGGACCATTGTGTTTACATGGAATGAAGAAAAAGTAAAAGTACTCGCTCCTGAGAAACTGTGATGAGAATCTTTTGTGGTCATTTCAGCCACAGGTGGGGGAAGCAATGAGTTCAGGGCAGTAGGTTCTGGCACAGGAGAGGAAGGAATGAAAGTTTTTCCTGTTGTATTTTAAGTAATCATGGTGTGGGTGCAGCACCCCCGTATCCGAGAATCCATGACTCAATAAGAGTAGACACCAACACATGGGAATAGAAACTACCAGAACAGATGATCATTTAAGGGGTTAAATGCAGAGGCGAGACAGCCACAAAAGGACAGGCTGCAAATCAAATTTAGAAGATTCTAAAGACTTTAATAGAGACCCAGAGAGTTGGAAGGATAAGAGATGAGCTATTGTGTTGCAAGCACCTCACAGTTAATGAAAGCTGAACAGAATATTTTCATTCTCGCTTGATCAAGAAGCACTGGGATGAAATAGTAAAGTATCAACATATGTCAGTAGAGACCAAATTGCTATCATAGAATGAAAACCTGGATCTTAACCATTTAAAAGAGAGCAATGAACCAGAATATGTTTTCTCCCTGAGTTGCTATGAGTTGCTTCTGAGTGAAAGATTTATCAATGAACATATTGTAACTGAGCCACTCTCTCCCAATATTGAATTCTTTAAATAGCAGCTACTTTTAATAAGTGTGAAAAAGCTGTTGGGAAGCCACATTTTTCAAACGTAATGCACTGTCTTATCAGGGACACTGCAGTAAACAGAAAAGGCAGCTTATAAATATATAATGGTGATAAGGCAAAGATATACAAAGCCATTTCCTATCAAAATATTGAGCTTACCTAGGAAACTTAAATATCCCTCCTGGTCCCTATCAGGGAATAATAGCTCTTTCAGTGCTCAGTTCTATTGACTCAATATGACAGTGTAAAACAACATTTCTGTGTATATAGGAAAATCATTACAACCACTGCCTCAAACTAATTTTAGATTCCTAATGTCTGTAATTCATTCACTTTACTGTTTGAATACTTTATGTTGTAGTTAGAGTTATTAAATCAGTCAGGATTTCTGTGACTCAGAAGCAATTTTTGTGTTGTAATGTGTGCAAGGATTCACCAGGTTTCCCTGGAGCTTAGGCACATCATTTCATGGACGCTCTGATTTGGTGGCTTCCTGACAGCAGGTCAAGTGAATGACAGCTAATGTCATTCACTGATAGCTGCACTGTTTTGACGGGACAAATATAGCCAAGTGGAGATTTTAAAAATAGATAAAAAATCATGGATGTGTGCTTTTCTCAATGAACAAATCAATAATCAAAGCTCCATTTTGCTTCAAGTGTTATATTGATATTAAGAGGTACATGGTATTCATATACCCATGAGTCTTCATTAGCTTAGTGGAAAGGGGCCTGTGTCCAGGTCTACAACAACTGTAAAATTTTTGAACTCTTTGACTCTTTGACTTCTTTATCTGTATTATATCATCTTGAAGGATTTCCTAAAGATTTTGCTTTCAGTCTTAGGAGAGTGTCATTCAAGAAGCATCCCAAATTGAGGCCACCAGATGTTTTCTCCCCACAGTAAATCTGATAACTGCGTCATTTGAATACTCTGCATAGATTGACATAGGATGTCAAGAGTCCCAGACTCCAATTATGTACATAAAATTAATCAGTGTAACCCAACTGCAAAACCCAGTGTCCAGGGCAATATCAGACTGGGCATACCTGGCACATCGTGAAGCCAGTTGGCCTTGCTTCCTGTCAGAGGGAGCGGCAGCAGCAGCCATCCAGGTGGATCAACGAACACACAGCAACAGGTAGAGCTGCAAACAGGAAAGTGGACTCGCAGCTGCTTTGTCCCAAGCGTTCTGTGTTCTGTTCTCTTTCCCAGTGAAAACTGCAGTTGCACATATTTGCACATACTACAAACACATTCTTGTTCTTGCACTCCACTGAGGGCTGAGCAGACCCCATTGTCCTTGGTTAGATTTCTCATCTAGATCCATGAAGCTCCAGGAATAGCCCGTGGACCTGTCAGCATCAGAACGTCTGCGTTTTCCTGGCCTGGCATTTCCACTGTCGTGCACTGCCTGAAGGCTGCCATTCTTTGTTACCTGCCTTTGGAAATTCCCCTAATGAGCCTCAGCTCAGCGAGGTCAACTCAAACTCCTTATGCTTTGTAATCAGACAGAGCTTGTTTGAAGTTTCAGTTTTGCTTGCGTGGTCTTGGTCAAGTTCTGACCTGCCTTGCGATCGGAATTTCTTATGCATACATACAAAGACTAGGTATTTTCTGTGTTAGGTCTGTTTTGAAAGTTAAGCAAATTATATTTCTAATTGCCCCAAACGTAAAATAAACCTTAAAACATTAGCTCTTCTCCCTATAAGACTTAATCCAGTGTTAACCAAAAGGGAAGTCTTTATGTTTTTTTTATTTATTTGAAAGAGAGAGAGAGAGAGCGCTTCCATCTGCTGGTTTACTCCCCAAATGGCTGCAACAGCTGGTGCTGAGCCAGGCTGAAGCCAAGAGCTTCTTCCAGTTCTCTCAAATGGGTACAGGGGCCCAAGGACGTGGGTCATCCTCCACTGCTTTCACAGGACATTAGCATGGAGCTGGATTGGAAGCAGAGCAGCTGAAACTCAAACCAGTGCCTGTATAGGATGCCGGCACTGCAGACAGTGGCTTAACCTGCTGCGCTATAACCCTGACCCCAAGTGGGAAGTCTTAGTGTAGACTCAGAGGTAATCAGACTCCACCTGTCATTGTAACACCTCTTCTCACATTATATTACACTTGGTTGCTATTTGTTTCCTGAAGGACAGACATACAGACAGGCTTCCTCGAACAACTGCTGAATCGCTGAAAGTGGTGGCGATAGCTGTTGGACATGTCCATCAGACTGTGGATGGCTCCAAGTTGTGAGAATTTATTTATTTATTTATTTTTGAAGATTTATTGGGGCTGGCTTTGTGGCAGAACAGGTTAAGCTGCTGCCTGCATTGCCAGCATCCCATATGGGCACCAGTGCAGATCCTGGCTGCTCTACTTCCAATTTACTTTCAAGCAAAATAAATTTTTTTAAGTAAACTTACCTTTTTTTAAGATTTCTTTTTTTTTTTTTTTGAAAGCCGAGTTACAGAGTTGGGGGAGAGACAGAGAAATCCTCCATCCACTGGTTCACTCGCCAAGTGGCCACAAACACCAGCAGTAGGCGTCTGAAGTCAGGAGCCAGGAGCTTCATCTGGATCTCCCGCATGAGTGGCAGGGGCCCAGACAATTGGGCCATCCTCTGCTGCTTCTCCCAGGCCACCTTCTCCCAGGCAAGCTAGACTGGAAATGGAGCAGCCAGAACACAAGGCCATATGGCCACTATGCCACAATGCTGGCCCCAGAGTTTTGAAAATTTAGGTCCCAAGTTTGTACATCCTCTTCGTCTTTAGTGGAATTTCACAGATGTACTACACAGTAGCTGGAAATAGTTAATCACAACTTCATCTAGAGGGAGTTCTGTTGCATTCTCTCTGGCCTCCACCCCAATCTGAGAATAATTAGATGAACTTGGGAGCACCATTCAACTAAAAGATGACTGTGAGTGTCATATTACAGTAACAAAAGCAACATCCCAGGGGGACCATGGTATTTCATTTGCATCAGTCAGCAGTTTTCTGACATAAGCTATCTTGGAGGGGAGACTGCTGAGGGTATATGGACCTGTATCTCAGACTTCCCTAATAGAGTGTATATCCTAAGAGGCCAAGTACTTTTCCTAACTTTTATGCCATTGGGTTGGGAGGGAAAAAATCAAGCTTTTATTAACTTTGACTCCTATTTTTAAAATGTCTATTTACATGCATTTATTTACACAAGAGAGCAGTATGCATGTGTAGACTACAGATGCATAAACCTGCATGGAGGACTCAGTCTCTTTGATAAGGGAAAAGATGGCTGAGGTGACAGACACAACTCTCTCTTTCTTTCTGCAGACTTTGGCTTTGCACTTGCTCCCCCAAGCTAACTTCAGCATGCTCAAAAGGAAGCAGAGTTCCAGGGTGGAAACCCAGCCCGTTGCTGACTTCGGTCCTGATGAGTCTCTGTCAGACAATGCGGACATCCTCTGGATTAACAAGCCAGTAAGTTTCTTTTCTAAAATTACAGAGGAGCACCTTCTGGTAGAAGGGAAATTTGAGTCATAACTTCGAAGATCATAGACCACTGGCTTTGAAATGTCTCTTTGAGCTATAACAGAATATAGATGAGTCTTGACTACTGGAAGTTGAACGATTCGATAAAAGAATGAGTGCCACTGTGAGTTATTCGCATGGGAAGATAGGCCAGGGGGTCTGGTTCCCTCCCCTGCCCATGCTGTGCACGTGTGCTCAGAGGCACACAGTGTAGAGATGTCACTGTGTCCCACTCTGACCACAGATGGTTCCAAGAGGAGCGACCAATTCTTCACAAACATCCTTTGCTTTACTGTCCTTAACAAGCCTGAATCTGTGAGATGATAAGTGCATTTTTGGAATTAAAGGTTTCCTTCTGAGCTACAAGTTTTGGGCAAAAGTAAAGATTAATGAGATCGTGCATAGTGTCTCTGAAGAACTTTGTCACCTTCTCTGCCTAATTAAGTTGATGAGAACTCGGAGAGGCAGGTCTGCTCTGCTGGGCAGCATTGTTTACCAGGAGGCATAGCAACCAGAACTAAAGGGAAATGGCAAATTCTTCAGTCTTGGAAGCTCAGCTCTGCAACACAAAGTAGGATTGATTTCATTGTTAAACTCCTAGTAGATGTTGAAGGAATGAAACAAAGTAACCTGTTGGCCTCTTGTCAGTGCTGGTCTTTCCCCTAGCTGTGGCAGAGAATCTGCTGGGCTCTTCCTGCCCTAATCAGTATTTTTCTTTCTTTTTCGTAAGCCTTTTTAATATTTTTAATTCATTTGAGAGACAGAAAGTGGGAAACAGCCAGGCAAACAGACAGAGAGAGCTCTCATTGTTTCAATCCGCCTGCTTCAGCAGCTGTGGCTGGACCCGTGCTGTGGCTTGGAAGCCCAATCAGTTCTCTTATATGGGTGTCAGGAACCCAAGTACTTGATCCATCACTGTTTCCCAGGATCTGCATTGGCAGAGGAGGGTGGGGTGAGGAGCCAGAGCCCAGGATCCAATCCAGGCACTCCCCTTGGGGACAAGGGCTGAACTGCTGTGAGGAACACTTGCTCCCTCTAGTGTGTGTCTAATCTGCCCCTAGGCTGCTTCCCCAGCCTGACACATACCTCTCCCCACGTCTCTGTTCGGTTTCCCTTCTGCTTTGCAATCGCTGAGATCTCTCTGCTATCTCCAGTGCAAGTGCAAACCTGTTGACGTGGCATTCCCGGCTCCTTGTACTCTGGCTGTAACCTGGCCGGCCAGCTCACTGCCTCTTTCCTTCTCCCACATCCGCCATCCACTTGAGCCACATCAGCACGCCCCACTCTTCCAGGTCGCCTGGCTTGTTCACACTGATTTCCTTTGCTCATGCAGTTTCCTGGCCCGGAAGGCCCTTTCCTGTTTGTCCGATGCTCAGATCCTCCTTGTACACCGGCACTGGCCAAGGTGCCACCCCATCTCCATCATCCTCCTCATTAGAACTCCTTACCGCAGACAGCATGGACCTCTTCTCTTTCTACTTCTTTATTTTGTATTTGTATACAAACACCAGTGTGCATCATATATAACACGTACTCTTTATATGTGTATATACATTATATACGTACACACATATAGATACACATATAGAAACACAAACACATTTATAGTCACACTGCAAAGTGGTTGTGGGTCAGAGCTGTGTTTCTTCCATTTTTGTGTCCTTGGAGCTCAGATTTCTCAAGCACGGTGGGCTTACCCTTACAGGGAACCGAACAGACCAGAGAGGAAAGCTCTCGCTTTTTCTGAGTGTTTAGCCCATACCAAGCTGTCTGAAAATTTCTGAAGAAGGTAGCACTTATAATGTGGCTTCAGAGGACTTAATGAAAGTATCATTTTTTAAAAAATTCTTTCTTCAAATTCAAAATGGAATTGGTGTGGAAGAACCCATCTCTTGTGGTTCTTTTCTGTCTTTAGATTGTTGATGGTAGGGGTCCAGATGGGGCTGAATTCAAACACTGATTTTTTGAAGGCCTCCAAATCGCACAAAAAGTAGTACATCCATCCTAAAAAGAAAAAAAAAAAGAACATTAACTCATCAGTGACTTGAGTAGTATAGAATTAGCACCACTATGTCTTTATGAAATATTATAACTGTCAGATAAACATTATAACCCACTCATCAGCCGACAAGTGCCTGAGCCTCCTCAAAGTTCTGACACCTTTTCTGCTTCTCATCCTGAGTGGTGCAAGATTGCATGGCTGCAGAACCCTTCTACTGCAAAACTGAAATGCTTTTGGGGACTGGGGTGTATTAAGGAATGAACGTGCCTTGGGGCCAACACAGTGGCACAGCAGGTTAAGTTACCGCCTGCTACTCAGGCAGCCCATGTCAGTCCTGGTTTGAGTCCATTTCCAATCCAGCACCCTGCTAATGCACCTGGGAAAGCAGAGGAAGATGGTCCACGTGCTTGGGCCCCTACCTCCTACGGGGTGGACCCAGCTGGAGTTTAGGGCTCCTGGATTCGGCCTGGCCCAGCTCCAGCTGTGTGGTTAACTGGGGAGTAAACCCAAGGATGGAAGATGCCTCTTCCCCCTGCTTTCTCTCTCTCTTCCTCCTCCCGTCTCTCTGTAACTCTGCCTTTCAAATAATCCTTAAAAAGGAGAGTGAACATGCCAGCATTTCTATGCAAGACAGTCAATTAATAACATACTAACTATGCTTAAGAATTACATACTGGTTAATTCTCTAACCTTAATTATATGTTTGGCATGTAGATGCAATGAAACAGTTTTTATCCAAGCTATCAGTTTTCATAGTGAAATATTGTATGTGAATGATTACATGACCTGTATATACACACATGGAAATACACACACATCGACTTGTCTTTTTAATTCTTTGTTATTTTAGGGTAAAGCAAAATCCTTAGTCAATAGATGGAGCACACAGAAACTTTTTCTTAACTCTGAAAGAGCTACCTAGGCTAAATTTGTATAAAATGTATTCTCCAAAATAAAGAGTCCATTTATTACCTTTTTAAAATGTAATATGAGTCCAGATTTAAAAAAAAGATTTTGTTTAAATACAAACAGAAATCTTCATATATGAGAAGTGCTATATATCAATGGAATTAATTTAAAAAAGTATTTGTGATTTGAAAAAATAAGCCCGTGGGGTAGATCCTGGGGAAGTTTTCTAACTGGAATATGGTCCCTAATTCTAGGTGTTAATCATGTAAAAAAAATTTAAAAAGGTAAAAGTAGTAACACAGATTTCTACATGAATAAATTACAAGCATATATTTTATTTGAACCAGAAAATGTTTATACTGTGATTTGATGTTCTGGAAATTGTCAGATTTTTTTAGGATAACCTGGCCCATTTCAGATTTTAGCATTGGCTGTTATTAGTGGGTAACCACAGAAATGCCTCTTAACCCTCCCAAGTCCTGGTGTGTTCATCTGGAACAGAAACTGCTATGATAATTAAGCAAAGTAAATGGTGAAAACGGTTAGCACATTATGTGTGCTTAGCAGATGCTGGTTTGCTCCTTCCCTCCATGTTAGTGAGACGTTTTGAGCTCGTGTGAAGCTTTGTACAGAGTGTGGTTTGTCAGGGTTGACGATGCGGTGAGCATCACACAGTAACTTGAACCGTTCTTGCAGTGGGTCCACTCTTTGCTGCGCATCTGTGCCATCATCAGCGTCATCTCCGTTTGCATGAACACGCCAATGACCTTTGAGCACTACCCGCCTCTGCAGTATGTCACCTTTACTTTGGATACTCTACTGATGTTTCTCTACACAGCAGAGATGATAGCAAAGATGCACATCCGGGGGATTGTCAAGGTGAGCGGACATCCTAGTCTATTTATGCTTTCATGTGAATTTCAATAAAGCAAAGCAAATCTTTATATTGTCCATTACTTGAAATCCTTTTACAAAGGTCGTAACTTCAGACATTGGTAGAAATAGGTTGCCTAAGAATATTTTTGAAGTTAAAGGAGTTTCTTGAGCCGTAGAGCCTTGGCATTTCAGAGAAGAAGCCGGGAAGGCTGACCACTGGTTTGTGAAGTCTGCAGCGGGGTTTTTCCGAGGCTGCGTCCATGACCCAGCACAGTGATCAGCCCGGGGGAAGGACCTCGGCTTGTTGCTTTACAGAATGTGGGATAAACGTTGCACAACAAGTGTAGAACCTTGTGATATTCAGCAGGATGCCATTAACCTGGGTGTTTTGAAAATATAAAAGGGTGGAAAGAAAAGAATGCAGCTGGAAGGGGATTTGGGGCACTGTAAGTAGAAGAATGTGCAGCATTGGAACATAAAAATCAATTTTAAAAAAAATATAAAAAGAAAAAAAAAAGACTTTCTTTCATAAGATCTCTCTTTCTTTTGTCGCACAAATGTTTACAGAGGACAAGACTGTGTAGATGGTACTGTCCCTAGAGTGTTTTTCATTGTACCATTTAGGAAGACAGGGCTAAAAGGAAACAGAGTAAGGGCTTAGGTTTGACAAATGACAAATTGGATGCAAATCCTAACTCTTCATTGGAAGTTGGATCAGCTGCTCAGATGAGGGGACGTTGGGGGAAGTACTGCATTTGTACAAGGATTTTGAGAATTTCATGAGATAATAAAACAGTTACTGGTCAGCTTCGTCACTTCTTTTCATAGATGGTTTATTGTGTGCTATCCTCAACAGAGAACGCTCCGGGGCATTCAATTAAGCTGCAGCTTGGGACTCTGCATCCCATATTGGAGCCTAGGGTTGAATCTAGCTTTCATTTCCAAGCCAACTTCTGACTCATGCACCGGGAGGCGGCAGATGCTGCCCCAAGTACTCAGGTCCCTGCCATCTGCGTGGGACACCTGTACCGAGTTCCTGGCTTCTAGCTTGGGCCTGGCCCAGCCCTTGCTATCGTTGGCATTTGGGAAGTGAACCAGAAGATGGAAGATCTTTCTGTCTTTCCCTCTGTCACTCTGCTTTCCAAATAAATAAGTATTTTTTAAATGGAATAATCATACTCAATGTATACAGTGTTCATTTTCAACTTTTTATTATGGATTTTTAAAAATTTACACAGAAATAGATTATAGTACCTAATCCCTATAATTCAGCATCAACAATTATCAACATTTGACCAGTCCTGTTTCGTTTTATGGTAAATCTGAGAAATCAAGGCATTTCAGAAGTAAGCCTTGGGACAGGCATTTGACCTTGCAGTTAAAATGCCAGTTGGGATGCCTGTATCCTATAGCATTGGTCTGGTCTCCAAGAAAGGAACACTGAGTAGGTGGGGGTGCCCTATTCATTACTGCTGTAGCACCTTGGTGGATGATTATTGTTATTGTTTGTTTGTGTTTTGCATTCCCCTGCAATCTGCAACCTCACTCCCACCCTACCCCAGCAAGGCAAGATTCTACAGAAATGGCCGTTTATTCTCAGGTTCACTTTCTGAAGTTTCTACTCGAGATCCCACTAGGAATTTCTGTTGGCTCGCAGGAGGGATGGCCACCACCATGACCTCAAATGAAAGGATTTCAAGATGATTCCAAACTTGTCCCTGTCTGCCATAGAGTCAATTGGCCAGTGTTTCTAAACCCTGGGTTTAGATAAGTGTAGGTTCAGAAAATGGGTAGCTGTCTCAGGAGTTAAAGTTTGGGGGAAAGTTGGTGTTGGGACAGTGCTGAAGTATCTTTTAGGCAACTGTAACTTTGCTCCCTTGGACATTGCCCAGCCCTAGCTTCCATTCTGTGAGTCACAAGGGCCTTGGAGGACCCTGTCACTTATGTGTGTTGGTCATCGAGACTAGAACAACTCTGCCCATGCTCTGTAAGATCTGAATATTCCGGGTGGAGCACTTTGTGACTAAAAGCACCACGTGTGTCCTCCTTTAAGGTTCCAATGAAGCCATAAAATATTTTTTAAGTTTAAATGAAACAAACATATTATATTTCCCTGGAATAAATTGTTTCTTAAATCTTTTTGATGAAGATTAGGATTTCATATCATGAAAATCCTACCATTCTGTCATAGTCAAATGATAAAAGGACAGAGATGGACCTAATACAAAAGTTATATATTCATTCTGAATGGAAGAACACTGAATGGACAGATATTTGAAAACTTTAAATATTGATAATTGAAGCAATAGTTAATTAAGAAAAATTTAATTTATGACCAAGTTGTTTTCAAAAGGCTGTAAAATATCCATATCCAATATTTTCTTATTTCCGTCAATATTTGGATGATAAACTATTTATTGAAGCCAAAAAGGAATAAAAATTAAAATCACACATGTTTTCCCATAATAAATATAATAATTGGATTAAATACATATGTAATGCAAATTTTATTATATTGAATTGTTCTTTTTTAAAAGATTTTATTTCAAAGTCAGAGTTAGAGGGAGAGAGAGAGAGAGCGATCTTCAATCCACTTGTTCGCTCCCCAGAAGGACCTGGAAGCCAGGAGCTTCACCCAGGTCTCCCACAAGGGCTTCTACTGCTTTTCCCAGGCCATTAGCAGGGAGCTGGATTGGAAGTGGAGCAGCTGAGTCACAAACTGGCACCCTTACAGGATGCCAGCATCACAGGCAGCAGCGTGACCCTCTATGCCACAATGCCAGCCCCTGTAATAATGAATTGTTGACGTTATCTCAGAGTAATCAGCACAGCTGTGTGTCTTATTAAAACTGGTATTCAGTATGGCTACATATGAGGTCTGAACCAAGATTTAAGGGTATGATGTCATTGAATTTTCATCATCATGGTCCATCCTTATGATTAGACCATGACAATTAAAGCAGAGCCCACTGTCATTTTCACAATGTGAAATCCAAGTTATAACTTCATCATATTTCTGTCACATGCTTCTTCAGACATGTATGTCATGGCAGACACATATCAAAGACTAAATTGGGCTTGAGATTGCATTCTTATGTTTAAAACTCAAACTTTTAATCAGCCTTAGTTTTATCACAGTGTCACCTGTCACATTAAATTTATGTCAACTTAAATCTTAACAGCTTTGTTTTTTTTTTTGTATTTGTAAATTTGTTTTTGCTTTAAAAGTTACATAAGAAATATATACATATTGGAAGTTACATTCTAATAAAAATGCATCAGTCCACATGGGCTTTTTAGAGAACCTCTTCCATTGCTTAAGTTTGAAGGATTGTGCTGTCATCAGCTAACCCTGCAATATTTTTTTAAAACTTTTAGTAAACACCTGTCTGTTAATAAACTTATATTTGCTACTTTTTCTGCCTTCACATTTTCCAAGAGCTCTGAAATCACTTCTTACTTTTTTTTTTTTTTGTCTTCACATTCAGCATAATTTATTAGCACATGCTGTGCTCATTCAGTTACAGGACTTTACTTGTGTCTGTTCACACATGTATGTGGACCTTATGAATATTTCTATTTGATTTTAATCATTGGGTCACATACTCTTTGGTAAATTTTCACATTGTTTGGAATACAACTGATCAAACATTCAGTATTCAATGTGTCTTGATTTTCGACTAAAATATTTCCAAGAGGTGATCAGATTTAGTTATTAAGTGAGCAACACCAGACTGCTGTGTCTACTGTGTGGACGCGTTTGTGTGAGTTCACGTGTGTAGATGTCAATGACTTGAATAATACCAGCCTTTTATTTGTAGAAGGGTGTTTCCCATGCACAAAACTGTAGTATTCCATAAGAAAATATTTAGAGAAGCAAACCAGTGTATCATTGCCCATCCATCATGCAGAGCTGCTTAATGTTATACCTACCCCATTTTGGTAATATTATGGTATACCTAAAATTCATGCCTAATGGTTAAGGCAGTGCTATCTTCTAATAAATAACATAAAATTTCACTGTGGCTTCCCAGTGTTGACTACTAATCGCATCGACATAGTTGTTTTCCTAGTATATTAAAATGTTATATATAAATAGAAAATAGTTAAGATACTAGTAGTTTAAATATATTTATAGTATAATGTAAATATAATAGAGCATTCTACTCTAAGCCCAAGTATAGTTTCCAGGTTTTCCTTTAGTCACTTGGCCACCATTTATTAAACCCTGGCAATGCGCTCATCACTGCCATAGGGGAAGGGAGATGGACAAAACCAAGCAGAGCCTCTGACCAAAGAAATCCCAGCCCACGTTGTGGGATAGGTTTTACAAGAATCCTCATTTTCCCTAAAGAGTATATGGCTGAAAACATTTCAGAGAACACATTGCTAGAAAATAAGAATCTATATTCCATTAATATAAATGGGAAATCTAATAATGTATTACAGGGCAACTGCAAATGTCATTAAATTACTCCCTTAAGCCTATGTAAAAGTACACCTGTGTATTTCTGCATAATGAAGATCCATTTTTACACTACTCAGGCATTTATACTTATCACACAAATAATTTTATACAATTATTTACTTATAAAATATTTTGTAAAAAAAGAAGCCAAACAACATGTTAAATTACTGCCTACCATATTTCATAAAATTGCTGGTGTCTTCCATGGGGAGAAGAAAACAGCATTGATTTGCAGATTCACAGGTCCTTAAAAAATAGTAAATGCTGTGAATTACACTTCGATTTAAGACTGTAATTAATGCATTGATCACAAGATGCATCCTGAATTAGGAAATGTTAAACTGTATTGGGAATGGGGGGTATGTTTAAGGTTCAATTAGATACACTAAAATGGACCTGGATTGATTGACCCAAGTTCTAGTCTCATGAAAGGCTAACAGAGAAGAAAGGTAGGAAGAAGAAGAGAATGATGCTTCATTATTAAAGTTTAGTTTAACAATGCAAGATTTAGCCCAGCGGAGAACAGCAGAGACTA